CTGAATTATACTACATCTATTTACATAAACTATGAATCTAGTCCTGTATTTTTAGGAGGGATTTGAATGAGGGTTGAAATTTTGTTACATTCTTTGTTTATATTTCCTCTTGTCTGTCAGCTTTTAAAGTGTGACAAATACTGCACAGCATCGAGTGATGAAACATAAGACTATCTTCAGACTAAATGCTATATTAAATCCTGATTACACAGATTTTTGAAAACAGGTTCCTTTTCTGTTGAGGGTCATTTTTAACATCCTACTAACTTTTAATACACAACAATAATTTAAAACTGAACAGTGTGTCTCAAACTATTTATGAGGCACGAGGATAAATTGTCTAGAGAAATGCCACACCAAATGCAATCAACATATCATTCTGCTAATATAATCAAGCCTCAAATGAGGTAATGTTGCCCAGAACTATTTAATGAAGAACTTCAAGAAAACCCAGATTTTGAGAAATGGGAAGGCACTCTAGGTAATGACTATTTAACTCTAAAGATTCAACTGTGCAATTTTGAATAGAGGTCAGTGAATCAGAAGAATTTGTGATGTACTGCTTTGGAAGGATACAAATGGCAAATTCCCCCATCTTCATGACAATTGTTCACTATTCCCAAAAAGTATACCAGCCATCAGATTACCTTAAGATGCAGTTAGTACAAGAAAATTAGTACAACAAAATCCTTCCATTAAATTTTTTTTGCCTTCTTAAATATCTGGAAAATTCCCTGCACTACCTCTGTTTTTGTGTAAGTATTTATGAGATACTATAAAACTCTGCAAAACATAGTTCCAGAGTTTTAACCAACTAAGTTTAGGGAGGTTTGGTTTGGTTTTTTATAAAGACAGGACTGGTTTACACAATTCAGATCCAGCTTTCAAATATCCAAAGATGTAATAAAAAGCTGGGATATTTGTAAAGTTAATAAAATATATGAAGGATGGGCCTAGGACCTATGAATATTAGGGCACTAACATTAGAGTGAGTAGTCCAAAGTTCAATTCCCTGATCCACCACAGACTTCCTGCACAATTCTGGGCAAGTCACTAACTGCCCGTGCCTCAATTTCTCATCTGTAAAATGGGAATAATAGCACTTCACCACCTAACAGGGCCTTATGAAGATAAATATATTAAACACTATAAGACACTCAGATAATCTGATGATGGGGACTATACAGTTACCCAGATAGATAGATATCCAGACTCTTGGTCAGAATTTGAAGGTCAGGAATGTTTGGTTCCAATGAAATGATTAAGGGCCCCTCTCTGAAAGTAATAATAATGGCTGCACCTTGATATTCCTCTGTCACTCCATCAGAGAACTACATTAAATCATCACATTTGATCATTTACTTCTGGTGATGCTAACGAATGAAAAGGATTGCTTTATTTCTTTGTGGAAAACAAAACAAAGCTCAAGATATGCTGGCTTAAAAAATTCCATGTGCACATGTATGTAAAAAAAAAATCAAATCAAAGTTCAGCTAGAACATCTGTCCCAAGTATGAACCTTGACTGAGATACTGAAACTGATTACCATAAAACTGGGAAGGATGACTGACGTAAACAATGGAATTAGTAAGAGTATTTGGGGTGAAAAAACACCAAACCTTTTTATCTGGCTGAGGGAGTTGGAAATAGCCCACAATTGAAGCCCAAATCAGTTCCGCTGCCCCATTCCACATTCCTGAAATAAAGCAGACACATGACCAATAAGCAGATTTCTTCTTCAAGTTACAACATTGCTCGGTATTGCTTTAAAACAGATGTGTATTTTTTACCTATCCTGAGCTGGGAGATTTCATGAGTGTATAAAACCATTCTATGACACTTTTCCAGTTTAGTGGCATCATTACATTGCTTAATTTCATGTTGCCTTGGTTTGTTCACAAATGTATATTTAGCGTGCACGAAAGATCCTAGATTAGCAGTCATGCAAATGAAACTCATTCGAAAGGCATAGCCTAGCATTTAGGCGGTGCCTTCTTCCCGCCAAGAACACAGCTTCCATTTAGTAGCTCTCTGCAATACTAACCTGAGGACTTCTTGCATCTGACTCAAGAAATTGCTATGATACATTTCTGAGGGTAAGCTACTGGTGGCTCATTCAAAAAAGAGCATTGAAAAGGGAGGAATAACTTGATTATTAAAAACAACTAAATAAAGAGTATTTACAAGTGCTTGTCATCTTCTAGTTGTTGCAACAAGAGATTGATGATTGGTAAATTCTAATTGTTTGGTAAATGCACTCTTGCTTGCTGTAAGCTTTTTCTTTCTAAACCAGTTGTGAATAGAGCTAATTTTTCTGTAGCCCTGTCTGCTACAGAAGTCAGGGGAAAAATTAGATATGCCAAGTTTTTACTTAACGTAAGAGTTACGTTTTTAGTAAGCTGTGAACAAGGGAAATTACTTTAATGCTTAAATAGTGAAAATCACTTCATGGAAAAGTGTTTGGCTACAGAGAGAGTGATCTTACCAAGCTTTTGCAGAATCTGTCCTCTGATCTGTATACAGACTGACTGAACAAGAATTCGATCACTTTCCTTGTCATACAACCACACGCCTGAAATGAGAATGTAAAAAACTCAGTGGAGTGTGATGCAGCTGTTGGTGGTTCCCAGGTCCTTAAAGCCTGATCCAAATTAGGGAAGTTAAGTATCAGTTACTTAACTAATAGAATACTCAATAGAATTTCCATTGACTATTCGATTAGCCGATAAACGGTGGAGTGGGGAGGGGGCGCTCTTGCTGTGGCTCTGTACTTTAAATATAGTAAGAGCCCAATGGGCTCTTACTAAATTTAAACTGCAGAACTGCAGTGGAGTTAATTCCTGGGGGTGGTGCAAGCCAGGACTGAACAATTTTGGCTCATGCCACTCCCAGGACTGCTGTGGCTCTGCCACCCTTACTCCCCGCCCCCCACACACCTCGGAGACAGTGCTGGGGGAACCGGCTTTTAAGATGGCTCTCCCCAGCACTGGCTCCTGCTTCCCCCCACTTGCTGCCTCTGAGAAGAGGCTTCTGAGAAGAGGCAGCAGTGGGGGAGGGGGAGCAACTAGTCGAGTACTCACTCGACTAGTCGCTTACATTCCTAAGCCTGAGTCTTTCCAATTACTTTAATGGACTTCAAATTAGGACTTTAGATATCTTTTAAGCACTCAGATACAAAGGTGATAGAACAGCAAAAGGACTCAGGATGTGTCTAGACTACACCTCTCTGTCAACAGAGAGATGTAGATTAGGCACATCGAAATTGCTAATGAAGCAGGGATTTAAATATCCCACACTTCATTAGCATAAACATGGCCACCGCTTTTTTCTGAAATGGAGCTTTTTCAAAAAAATGGCAGTCTGGATACGTATCTGTCGAAAATAAACCCTTTTTCAACAGATCCTGCAAACCTCATTTTTTGAGGAATGCATGATCTGTCAAAAAAAGGTATTATTTTTGACAGATCCGTGTCTGGACTGCCATTTTTTTCTGAAAAAGCGCCGTTTCGAAAGAAAGTGGCAGCCATGTTTTACTAATGAAGCATGGGATATTTCAATTCCTGCTTCATTAGCAATTTTGATTTATTTGATTTGCATCCTTCTGTCAACAGAGGGATACAACCTAGATGTAGCCTCAGAGAGATATACGAGTAAAAAGCTTTTATACCCGTGTTTGATAGACATAATTAGAGGATTTACCTGGCATGGCTCAGGTTCTTGTAGTGGCTCAGGGCAGAGGGTGGAGGATGCCAGAGTCAGGGAAGGTGCATTGCTACAGTAACGACAGCTCCCTGGGACACTTGGGGCTATGCTGCCAGGCCAGTAGTACCTCCAAGGGGCTGGGGCTGTGCTGCCCAGTCCCTCCCAGCCTGTGACTCCTCTGAGGGGCGGGGACAAGGCTCTGCTGCCTGGCCTGCGGCTCCTTCATGGGAGAAGTGGGGCTCTACTGCCCAGCTCACCTCATCCTACAGCTACTATGGGAATGGCAGAAGTGCTCCCAGGGGCACTGCAGTGGCTGGAGAGGTCCCTCTGTCCAGCACTGTGGCCGAGGGCCGCAGGGGTGAGTGGTTTGGAGCAGTGGTCCCACCTACCTATGGCCAATGCCTGGCAACATAGAGATCTCTGGCTCCAGCTGGCCACTCTCATACTGGTGCGACACCACCCTATGGTCACTCTGCCTCAAGTGTGGGATGTCAACGTGTAGAAGACTACGCAATTAACCAATAAGCCTGAGTTTATCGGTTAATCCTATTGACTACACACATCTCCCCCTCCCCCCACTTCTGACTCAAAGGCAGCAAGCTAGGGGGAGGGTGGCGGGAGACAGTGTCCACTGGGAGCTGGATTTTTTTAGCCCACAAGCTCCAGATCCCCATGAGCACCGGATCCCGCAAAGCTCCCCCCCAAAGGCAGGAGATGCTCCCTCCCTGCCCCCACACTGCTGCTTCTATTAGAGACAGCGGTGGGGGTGGGGGTGAGGCAGGAGAGGCTGCAGCAGTACTTGACCATGGGGGACCAAGGTCCCTGCAGACAGAGGCTGCTCTGCCACAGCATGGAGCAACCTCTGTCTGTGATGAGCCTGGGCCCATTGTAGACAGACAATGCCCCAATGGCAGCAGCCTCTGTCCATGGGAGGGTCTGAGTTAGGAGCAGTTTCTGCCCACAGGGAGCTCAGGCCCCCCATAGACAGGGATAACTGCCACTCTGTGCTGCTGCCTCTGTATCAGAGGCAGCAGCACAGGGGTGACAGGCAGCTGGTCTGCACAGGGAGTTGGTTTGATAGAGAGGCAGCAGCACAAGCTGGCAGGGGCTCCCTGGGAGTACACTGGCTGTCGGCCCTACCCCCGTGGACTATCAAATAGTTGGGTAACCACTAAAATTTGATGCGGTTACATCACTATTCAATCACACACTATCTAACACCCCTACTTTGCAGTATACTTGTCCCTGATACTCACTGCCTCCAGTGGTCTTTGTGGAGTATAGCTATCCCTGTTCTTAGCCCCCTTGCTTTTTGTGGTATGGAAAACAATTGGATTCAAGGCACATCTCATTTTCCCGGCACAACCAAACTGTGACCTTGCTTTAGTTATGATAAGAGGAAGCTGATATAAATAAATACTATTTAAATATCACAAATATTAAATAAATACCACAGTGATTAAATTAATATATATATTTATGGTGATGTATAAATGGCAGCATAACACATTTTTTTTAGCCTGTGCCAAAAATGTATTCTCATTACACCTCAATGTTATGTATCTTAAAACAAAAGTGTTCATAATTTCAATCAAATAATGATTAGGCATCTCAATTTTTATTTTTATCTTGTAGTTATATGGTATCTTTTCATCCATAAAGTACATATGCACCCAAAACATTATTAACTTATAAGTAAGTTTGCTAAGCATAATTAAAAACACAGTATTACTAAAAATAATTAAAGAATGACTATCACAAACTATGGTTCATGAAACAATTATTTGTACTGAATACCATGCAAATATCCTTAACTCAGCGGTTTGCATTTTTTTAAAACTGGCAGTGTGGTTCATATTTATCTTTGTCAACCACACGAACTTTATCACAAGTCCTGTGATATTTGGTATGTCTCTTCAGACTCAGTTCCCGTCCTTGCATGAATGTGTGAAAAAAAGACTTATTTTTTGTTTAAAAAAGAAAAAAAAGGAAGTTTCTAAATTATTGTTGTGGAGGAAAGTTTGAGAACATGGCCGAAGGGAATCATAAAAACTCAGAAACCAAAAGGCAAAGAAAAAGCTCCTAAAATGTATAATTAAAAAAATCTAATGAGTTTTAAGCTGATCTCATGATTTCTGGGGTCTGACTCATGATTATTGAGCACCTGGGTTTGGCAATACTGAACATCCCTTCACCCGTAAGGTAATCGGTGACTCCAATTGTACAGATCTCTGAGGGGGAGAGTAATGACAACAAATAAGTATCTATAAAAATTTGAACAGTGTTCTAAAATTGCATAAGACTATTACAATTCTTAAATTCATCATTTCAGGTCTCTCCAAAGCTAGGCACATGTGCTGTGAAAACTGGGCCTCTCCCATTTCCACTGGTACAAATCCTGTGTTTCTAGCTCTGATGATCACTAAATAGTGAAACAAACCTATTATTGGCACAGGATGTGATATTCCTTATTTTGTGCAAAGCCTAAATGATTTTGGAAGGAAAGAGAAAAACATTTCTATGACAGACTGAATGAAAAAAAATCAGCCAACTATTTGTAACTGGTGAGAGGTTTAGAATGTTAGACAACTTCCATGGGAGAGAAATCACCAGGCAGAGCAGAGTCATCTACTCAAAGGTACTGGATACCTTGGCACAGTCCGAGCCCTGAATCAATTAGGGAAGTATGAGAAGAGAAAACATCATTGTCCATATAGATCTCTCTCATGGCAAAGAGCAGAAAGAAAGGAAATATGCAATTTGCCTACCACATTTTTGGGTGCTAAAAATAATAGGGAAAAAGAAAATAAATACTAACAACAAGGGGGCTTTTGTGGGAGTTTTGGATGCACAAGGAATACATGATCAAACTGCAGAGAAAAATCACAATTTAAGACCTAATCCTGCAGGCTCAAATAAATTATTAGCATGATTTCTTATCAGGCTATTACTACTGTTAACAGCAGCACTTAATTCTGACTAACACTGGTAGAAAGCATTATGCCTAGTGTAAGTCATTGCAGAGTCAGGACTTTATTGAGGTCTGGGAAGTGAATGATAATATTTTAAGTCCATGTGAGTGTGGCGAGTGGTACAATTAATTAAAAAAATTATTGAACTGCAAAAATAATGAGTTAGTCATACCTGTTGCTCCATTGTCATTTATAATTCTGCTTAGGATATACTCAGCTTTTAAAAGTTTTCCTGAAAAAAAACGCAAAAAGATAGAAAGATGAACATCAAAATGCATTATGTAATCTAGAGGGGACTGAATTATTCATTCTATTCTAGTTTGTCTCCATCTTCCTAATGCAGTCACTGCTCATATTTAAGTGCTTTTAATTATATTATATATCAAAGTACATTTCTGAAATTAGGATGGCTGATAAACACTCATAGCTAGACAACTAGTCGTCAGGTAATAAATTACACCTACGTGTATACTGAATGCCACATGAAATTTTGCATGCATAGAATTTGAAATGCTGCAGAAATGGTAAAATGAGGAGGTCTTCGTAGCTAATACTTGCACTACTTTGTACTTAGAAAATCCTGTATGCTGAGTTAATTATATACAATTCTACAGGTCTACTCTGCCAACACTAAGGCTTTGTCTAAACTTAAAAGTTTAAAGCGCAGCCACAGCAGTGCTTTAAATCGAAAGTATGGCCACTGCACGAGCGCTGGGAAAGACCTCTCCCAGCACTCTGTGTAAACCACCTCCACCAGGGGAGTAGCTAACAGCACTGTAAGGCTGTGTCTAGACTGCAGGAATTTGTTGGCAGAGGCAATGCAAATGAAGTGCTCATTAGCATTTCTCACGCTGTCATTTGCATAGTCTCTTCTGATCCTTTTTGGAGAAGAGGTGTTTGCGCACAAAAAGACAAAAAAAAGCGGTGTGGACGGGGCCATTTTGTGCAAAACACAATCCCTTTGGCGCAAGATCCTGTATAGCTCCTTTTTGGAGGCATAAGGGGTCTTGCGCAAAAGGGGATTTTTGTGCAAAATGGCCCTGTCAACACTGCTTTTTTGTGTGCAAAAACCTCTACTGCAAAAAGGATTGCTGGAATATCGACCACAAGTGGAGACGTGGCCTGAGATGAGGAGCAGAGAGGAGGCACCTGAAGGAGGGCAAGGAGTCGGTGGGTGCTCCTTCATTGGCTAGTTGGCTGAGATAGTTTGTCACAATGAGGGAAGCAGGTTAAAAGGCCTGGTCTTGCCTGAGGTGCTCCATGCTTCCCTTAATGTAGGGCTGTGTTGAACAGGTATGATCTAGTCCTTAGGGTTGAGCTCCTGCCCGGCTCTGAGGGGATGTCCTCCAAGGACAGAACACAGTGGCAGCTAGTAGGTGGTGAGAGGAGGAGATTGTTCTCCAGCAGCTTTGGTTCCTGATCCCATCTTACAGGGGTAGGGAGCTGCTCCCAGGGACTGCTCACAAGCACAGAGAGGTTGTTTCAGACAGAGGAAGATGAGGAGATTGGGCTGCTCCATCATTCACAAAAGAGGACAGGGGAGCAGGGAGGGAACAGCCCCTGAGCTGCTGATCAATTACAGGCTGAGCAGTTTCACACCCTGCTACACACTGCACGCTACACGCTCCATTCTCTCTTGGGGAAAAATGTAGTTGTCCCACCTGCTCCCTGGGCTCCGCCTCTACTTCTCAGCAGGGCAGTTTGGAGAGGAGCAGGGGCAGCAGCTGTGGCATGAGGCAGAGGGATAGGGAGGAAGGTCAGCTAAACTGGGAAAGACCTGGCCTGGCCTCTATTGTATTGGGGGGAAGTCTGGCCAGGGATCATTCCCTTCTCCCTGAATCCCACCCCATGAGGCTCTCAACCAAGCCTGGCAGAAACCCTCTCTCCCCAAAATCCCAGTCTTCTGAGCAACCCGGAACAATTGCCCATTATCAGGAACATTTTTGAGAACCTGGGTATTAAATTCATACAGAAAGAAACATCCTAAACAGGCTTTTTTACATTGGGGAGGGGGGGAAAGACACCACAGTGTTCAATAGAACACATCTCAGCCGTTTGTCACCCATTTAAAAGGCCCGAGTCACACACTGGCAGGCTTGAAGGCTGTGAGAGATGGCGTGAGGCCTGTTTTACCACCCTTATCATTCTGAGGCTGCTTTGTTCCACAAGCAGTTCAATGGAAAACCAACTGAACTGCTCACATGGAATAGGAGTTTTATGTTTGCAGCATCAACCCTAAGTATGAATATTCTGGTGCTTAGACACCAAAGCAATGGGAGCATTGGGAACACACAGGGGCTACATCTACACTGGCCCCTTTTCCGAAAGGGGCATGTTAATTTCACAGGTCGTAATAGGGAAATCCGCGGGGGATTTAAATATCCCCCGCGGCATTTAAATAAAAATGTCCGCCGCTTTTTTCCGGCTTTTAGAAAAGCCGGAAAAGAGCGTCTACACTGGCCCCAATCCAGCCCGATCCTCCGAAAAAAAGCCCTTTTCCGGAGGATCTCTTATTCCTCACTTCAAAGTAGGAATTAGCATGCCCCTTCCGGAAAAGGGGCCAATGTAGATGTAGCCTGTCAGAAAGTGCCAGTTGTGTGGCTGCAACTGTGTGTAGTCAGGTGAGCGCCCTGGCTCCAGCTGCAGCGTTTGCCTGGGGAAGGTGCACAGCAGCCATGCCTGGGGGAGCAGGACAAGAGGGAACTGAGCTTTGAAACTTCTCTGCAATCCCTAAAATAAGACTGGTCATGAAAGAGGAATTACCGTTTCTGTTATTTTTACATACAAAAGTCACGTATTTTACACGGAATTGTTAAAAGCGGGCTAGATTTAGCCACTTTTCTCTTTTGACTCCACAAATAACAGGTACCATCCATCCTCCAAGAATGATGGGGGTAGGGGGAGGAATTCCAATTTACATTAGTGAGTCTGTCAGCTGCATTGTTTGTATAGTCAAGTGGCCCTACTGAAAAAGCGGCAGGGACAGTGTAGAGAAAATGCCACTATTCTAATCTACTTTTTAAAAGGCTCTTGGTCAGAAGTATAGCAATTCAGATACCCCTGTTTGAAACCAGCAGGCCAGATTTGTTAAGGAACAAAAGCTCCAATTAGTATTTTCCACACCCTTTCACAATTTTCTCTCCTGCTTTTGGCTCTGAAACCCTTTATGCCAGGCCCTTTGTGCTGCCAAGAGGAGGTGGGAGGGATGCATGGGGTGGGGGGATCTAGGTTTGAAAAGATGGCACTGGGATCATAGGCATGTCATACCCAGAATAGGACAAAGTATCCTCTTGAAAGTCAAGTAGCTCCTAATTAGAACTGAGCTGAGAAAATGGAGAGAGCGCGAGTTAACAAGAGTTTTGTTACCTGAATTTACAGAGATACGAGCTAGGCGAATAACCACCTGAGGGGCGATTGGCGTGGCTGGCTGCAACTTGTGCAGGCCTTTGGCAATCTGAAGAAGTTTGCTGGATGCATCCACCCAATATAAGAATCGGTCAATCAGGAACACAATAGCAGCTGCTGTTCCAAAGTCTTTGACCATGATGGAGGCTTTCAAATACACCTGAAAAGGACACCAAAACCAGGAGACAGCCGGGCAGAAACAGGAGAGGTAAAAGAAATTCAGTTAACTGTTTACAGAAAATAGACTTAAAAACCTTTTTTGGATGGTGCTGCTTACACAACACTTTGCCGTAGGTTAGATTTTCAGCCAGATATTCTTTCTTATTTGCTGGTAGGCAGACATAAAATTTTACAGAGATCGAAGAAATAGACACTAGGAAAAACATATGTATCTACTGTCTGATAAAATACTATATGCATTTCTCAATCTGCTTGCAATTATTTGTTCCTGTAATTTTGGTAAGGTTCATAGTTTAATCACTTTGTTTAATCACTATTATAAATATTGTTTCTGTTCGCTTTGTGATTTTTTTTTTTTTATCATGGAAGCTTCTGGTTGGGTGGTTTGTTTTATGGGATTGTACTGTAGATTTTCCTCCTATTTTGTCTTTTTAATAGATATATTCCTCATAGCATGGTAGCTATGTGCTTTGGAAACACTTTTAAATGAACAACAAAACAATAACCATAATGGTAATGTCTGGCTCTTACACTGCTTGACCTTAAGAAGTACCACACACCCCTTCTATCCCCAATTCCCATCTGATGTCATCAACAGCTGCATGTGCTCAGCATCTAATTTGTACAGCAGTTGTTATCCATACATCTTACCCTGGGGGGGGGGGGAAGGGCCATTAATTTTATTTTGCAGGTGGGAAACTGAGGCACAGAGGTGAAAGTGAAAACTCAAACTTGAGAAATCCCGGGGGAGGAGAGAAATCAGGCAACTTATTTGCATATACATAAATATTCAAATACAATGCAAATGAGTGGCCTAATTTTCAGTACTGCTGAGCTGCTGGAGTTCCCATTAGCTTAAAAGGGAGGTGTGTGTTACCTCCAGATTTTCATTTCCTTTTTTCCCTAAAAGTCCCACAGGAAATTATAGCCTCTCAAGAGGCAATCAGCTCTCTGTGGATCAACCCCAAGTATAAGTAACTGGCATTAATGCAACATTAAGACTGCAAGATCAAACACTGCTTTATACATCACAAAGAAGGAAACAGGGCAGAAGTCCAATGTTTTTTTCCTTTGCAGGTCACCTTTAATGATTTTTAAATCAGTATTAACTCCCTTGGAGTCCCCTCTGTGGCTGATCCTTCTCTCTGGCATGAGGAATCAGCCAGAACTCCTGAAGGAACATGCTGTTAGGGGGAAAGGAGGCCAGCAGGGTAGCTGTGTGCATGCACAGAGCCTCTGTGGTTGTCTAGGGAACCATGCCAAACTAGGGTCCAAAATGTCCTGCCTTTTCCAGGGGAGTTGGGGAATCACTTCTCCCCTCTCTCACCCTGCCCTCAGCAAAGGGCAATGAGGCAAAGAGCTCCAGGTACTGAAGTTAGGCATTTCATACCTCCTGTGATGGTTTGTCTTGTGATGGGGAGAGATGCATCCAGTGATCATTTTACAGAAATACGTACAGGCCCCCTGAGAAGAAGGGGCAACTGTCCCAGGGCCTGGAGATTCAAAAGGACCTAGGGCTCCCAGCCATTGCTGCTGTGCTACCATGTCCTTTAAATCACTGTCTGAGCACTGCACGGTGCACTCTGGGTTGCCTGGGGTTGGTGGTGCGGCACGGCACACTCCAGGCAGCACCCACCCTTATTCCTTCCACCCCAGTCTCATCCCTTCCGGGAACATGGAGCCACTCCCCCACCTTTGCCAAGGGCCCAGCAAGTCTGTTGGACCCTTGAACGTGTATATTTCATGATTATTGTTATCTCAGAAGCAGGGCATAATGAAGGACTAGTAAACCATGGCAGGACCCTCTTTTCCTGCCTCATAAATCATGCCTGAAGCACATTCCTCCTACAATGTAGAGGAGAATGAAGTTACTCTGTCCCTTTCCTTATTGTCCGAACCATCTTTTAACTGGATCCTGTTCTATAAAATTCCCATGGGTCACACTTGCTCTCAGTCTTAAGCAAGAGAAAGTCAAGAGCAAAGGAAAAGGAGTTATTCTTACAGAGGCGAGAGGGGGGGGGGGCACAGGCAATTTCAGGAAGTGAGAAGACACTCTTGCAATATGACATAGTCAGGGAACCCCACTCTCCTACACTTCAACAATCACAGAATATTATTTCCAGACAGGCCTTTGGCCTTCAACCTTGCTGTATGCTCAATTACCCCGTCTTGTAAAAATGAGGGTAGTAATGCTACTGCTCACCCAACTTTGTCAGGTCCTTGCATGAAAAGGGCTGTTTATCCAGTGAAAAGTGCAGAGCCATGAGTGTTTGACAAATCTAGGATGTCCAGCTCTCTCCCAAAAAGGGCCGGACTCTCCTCTCCCTCCCACCAGTGTCATTCAGAAGTAACTGCACTGAAATCAGTGGCATTAAAATGGGCGCAAGTGAGAGCAGCATCATTCGCCAAAACCCCATCAGATACTGCGTGCCTGAAGAGAGAAATTGATCTGACTCATCAGCAAATTTTCAATGAAAAAACATTAGGCAGCTAACTCAATATTTGCACTTGGCTTATCACATTTTTCTCTCTCACTTACTCTCCTTGTAGGCACATAGGGTCGAATCCTCCAAGGTACGTAGGTACCCAATTCAATGGCCAGGTCCACACTTATGATGAAGTGTAAAAGACAAGAAACTCCTGCCAAAAGGGGGAAACAAATGGGGCAACTCCCCAGGGCCCGGTGATTTAAAAGGCGATTTAAATTGCCACAGGAACTCTGAGTGAGGTATTCCAGAGTCTCCAGCGGTGTGCTCCTGGAGGTGCTGCCGGCAGCTGGGGGTGCACCACCATCTGGGTGAGGCTCAGAGTTGGCTGCTCCAGCCCTCCTGCCTGAGTCTCTGCCCCTTCAGGGAGCACAGAGCCTGCCCTACTGCCCTACACCTTGCCCAGGGACCAGGCAAGCCTGATGGCTGGCCTGCTTGACTGCATTGACACTTGTTCCTATGGTACATAGCTACTCCACAATGAAAAGCTCCAGAAGTAGGAAAAACTCCCACAGCCTCCCAACAAGGACAAGCTCTGGCAGGGAGGAGCCAGTGGGGAAAGACTCTGGGGGGAAAAAGCCCCAGCAGGGAAAGCCCCCCCATACAAAACCTTTTCTTGCTGAAGCCTTTCACTGTGGGTCCCCAAGTAGAGAGGCAGTGGGACACTACATTACTAAAAATAGCATTGTAGACATGAGTAGGGTTGCCAGATGGCTGAAACAAATATACCAAACACCCCTCCCCCCCCAAAAAAAAACCAGGAAAAAATTGTGTTGAAGGAAAAAAAGTGTGGGGGCGGCGGAGGAGGGGGGGATACCCAAAGTTGTTGAGCAAAAAAAGACTCCAAGAACCTGGATCACTGCTAGGGGTTACCAGGTAGTCATTTAAAAAAAAACCCAAAAAAACGGACACACTTGATGGGGGGGTGGGGAAGAGGGGAAGGACTTATGCACCCATCTTATTGTGGCCCTATCTAAGTTATATTTGCCTAGTTTATCAATAAGAATATCATGCGAGACCGTATCAAATGCCTTACTAAAGTCTAGGTATATGACATCCACCGCTTCTCCCTTATCCACAAGGCTCGTTATCCTATCAAAGAAAGCTATCAGATTAGTTTGGCATGACTTGTTCTTCACAAACCCATGCTGGCTATTCCCTATCACTTTATTACCTTCCAAGAGTTTGCATATGATTTCCTTAATTACCCTGCTCCATTATCTTCCCTGGGACAGACGTTAAACTAACAGGAAGAGGAACGGGCTGGTGGGAAGCAGAGCTGGGAGGGTGCAGGGGGGCTAGCCGGGGAAGATCAGGAGGGGAAGTGGGGGAACTAGCCAGCTGGGAAAGGGGGGGTGAGCAAATTGGCCGGCGGGAAGCAGGACTGACCTGGCACTTGCTGCCTGTCCCGCGCAGGCTCCTGGCGATGCACGAGCAAGGAGGAGGCTTCCCCTCCTCCTCACACTCAACCAACTGAGGGCTCCTGGCGGCAATCACGGTCCCGCCTCCCAGCTGGGACTCCCAGCCGTTCCCCACGCCCACACCAGTCTTCCATCCGGTGCGCAGCCAGAAAAATCAGAAAATACCGGACATTGCACATGTCCGGTATTTTCTGATTTTTTTTACTGGACAGAGAGCGCAAATACCGGACACCTGGCAACCCTAGATGAGAGGCCCTGCTTGGGTGTGTAGAGAGTTTTGTAGGGAATATACCCCAGTTTCTGGCACGTAGGGCGTACTACTCTACCCACCTAAACTCTCTCTCCACGTATACACTGCTTTATATATCTCAGCACTAGCTGTCTGTACATGTCTGTCTGCTACACGCCACTACAAGTGTAGATGTACCTCATGAGAGTTAGACACCTTTGCCACTGAGCCTGATTTTCCTTTTAGATGGCTTTGTTATACCAGGGTAGCCCTGTTATATCAATAAAGATACTCTTGATCCCACAGAGGGATCTTACTCTTCTATCCAGTTTTTAAATGCACAGCTTTCTATATAACTCTCAGGAGATAAAGAAAGCAAGGTGGGGATTGTTAGGGTAGCATAGGATAGGATAGCATCGCATAGGATCCTGGGCTCCAAGCAATAACAGCATATTTGCTATCTCCCAGGTTTTCCATACTTCAAGATGACGTTCTGGTTTTTTTTTTTTTTTTAAGTTTAACATTTTTTTTCTGACCCAGAGGGTGGTGTTGGCTGAAAGGTTGGTACTTGAAAGGGATTCCCCACTCCCTGTGTGCAAATGCTTTACTTCTGCCTGTCCATAATGGAGGAATCCCTCTCTTGAAGCACCTGTAAACTGACCCTGCAAACTATCCATTCTAAATGCTCATGAACACACCATATATTTAAGCACAGAGCATTGCCTAATCTATTTTTTTCGCTCCTTCTTCCCTTAATAGATTGGAGCACAAAAGCCTGAGAGAGGGTGACCTACCAAACAAAAGGGTCTTTGAGTTTCTAGGAAAAGTAGACTTGGAGGAGGAT